CCTCCTCAGTGTCTCGAAATTGATTCAATGTGAGTGAGTCCCCAAACTTCGGTTTGTTTCACTATCCAAAAATGCAGCACGTGAATTGCACGTGCGTCTTGAACGGATTGAGACGTAATTGCACCTATCAATTGACGCCAAATCAATGTTTTATCACCCTAGAAAGTCCATCTATATGTGGGTGAACAAGTGACTGTAAGTCTATAATACTTGAGAAAAGCTTCTATTTTACACCATTCAACAATGTTGCCCTTTGTTTGTAATCCTTCCTAGATAACATAGAGCAGATATTGCTAGTTTACATGGGATTTCAGTGAAATCAAATATTCTTCAACAAGAAGTTGTCTCCCTCACATTAAGAGTCCTCTCTTCACCATACATTCCAATTACCTCAAAATTTTCATCCCTATTTCAAGATGGTATGAGAGCACCTCATTTCACTATAATTGCATCTAGTCTCTTTTGAATATTTGGACATATACCTAATTAACCATCAAAAGTGTTATTTTATTATATTTAATTTTTAGTTAATTACATATTATTTGTGATTCAATGTATTAGATTCGTTGATTTTTAAATTTGATATTTTTCTAGTTGTTTGATTTATTTTGTAGGTAATTTGGTTGATTTAAAGTAATAATGGATAAGACAAACAAAACAAATAATTGAGAAATAATCATAGTTGAGAAGGAAATATTTGATAAGAATTAAAATGATTAACATTACAAGATGAAAATTTGAAGATAAGATAACAATTTAATCATTGTCGGAGTCTAACTTAGTAGAAAACTCATTAAGAGTTGGATTAGGAAATAATTATAAGAGATAAGGTTTAGATAGAGATTCTAGAAGAGACGATTTTGACACGTCCTCATTAATTTGGTCATAACTTTTGACTTTGATGTCTGATTGATTTGATTTTTTCAGCATTAACAAGAAAATTTCAAAAAATATAAAAATATATTCCATGAAAATTTCGTAAATCGACATATAACTATACGAAAATTAAACTTGAAGTTTGGGCATATACGATACCCATGCCTCCAATATTTGATACACATGATTTGACATAAAATGACTTCTTTTGGTAAAGGGATTGCTCCCAGCCAACCCCAGACCTCCTAGTTAGTATACTTGTTGAGAGAACATCCTTGATTACGACTTTTTATATTGCTTTGGAGATTTACCATGTCTTGTAAGTAATTTTATTTTGTACTCTTTATTTAGGGTATAGATCTAGAATTGTGAATGAAATACTTATATTTTATGTAATTATTTTTTTATACTTTTAAGGTGAAACCCAGGTAGACTTACATAGAGAAAAAATTGAGAATTATTTATTTACTTACATGACATGATGAGTATTAATTTTTATGGGATCTATTTATTTATTATTAATTTTAATATTATTAATTAGTGATATCACGTCACATCACACCACATTGTCACGTAATATTACCGTTGTAATGAATATTGTCTCTGGATTCAGCTTGACTATTACTCTCCAGACTTGGCTTCCTGTGTTCCACATAAAGATCAATGACTTTTTTTTTTTTGACAAGCCCACTTCACTTTATTAAGTCAATAGCGTATTGATTATGTTCCAATACCATCCATCCCTTACTAGCCACGGCTTTATGATTGAATTTAGCAATCTCACTGTACCCCACCCCACCCCATCATTTTCCAACATGTTGTCTAACCTTCAAATTGGTCCACTCTCCCATCGGTATAGATTTTTGGCACCATAACCTTCAAATTTATCACTATGATGCAATTTGATTGTGAAAATATCCACTGCCATCATCTGCATAAACAAATCCAACCAGAGCATCCACTTCAGGGTGATATCTAGCATATGTCTTCACAGCTCATTTCTGTTATTTTTTTTTTAATAAATCATTTAGCTCACGTGGTTGCTCATCTAACCAATTGTGGGAGTCTTCTAGTCGACTGGTTTTTGAATCCTCCACTTCGAGTGCTGCAACTGATCCAGAAGGATGTTTGTGTGGGCATAGGATAGTTCCAGTTGCTTGTATTTTTTTGTTGCAAGTATATTATTTTGTAAGTCTGTTTTATGACTAACCGAAAAAAAAAAAAAAAATCTCTTGTCAAAATGGAACTATCTAGACGGGAAAAAATTACCATACACTAGTGCATCCTGTCCATCGGGGTATATCTTAGTTGTATTCTCTCACTAACCAATACATTTTGTCAACACTAAATGAAGCTTTTTTTAAAAAAAATATTTTTTTTAGTATTAATTTAAAAAAAATTAATTTATTTTTAATTTTTTATGTGTGTGAGAGTGAGACAGAAGAATGATATGCTAGTGTTACCTAGAAATGGAGTTTAATTTCAACTTTTGTTCATACTTTTTACTTTTTTTTACCACAGAGAGAGATAGAGAGTGAAAATAGGCAGATAAACATGAGTTAATTTTTGAGTATTTTTTTTTTTTTACTTCTGATTTTTAGGTTTTTAATGTTATAGATTGGATTATGGACTCAAAGTCGCTGCAATAAAATTTATATTAGACTTAATTTTTTGGGACTTAAAATTTAATAGATTAAAATTTTTTATAAAATATTTTAAAATCTTCTAAAAATTTGGTGCCAAGAACCCAAATTTCCAACACAGTTGAGCCGACGCCACCTCTTCAAGTCAAAAGACTTGATCGTCATGCGCAGTGACAAAGCCACTCAAGGACCCGTGCCCACCATCAATTTTTTATGTCTTACTATTACCTATTACATTTTTAAAAGTATATTTAACTGTCTATCTTATTATATTATTATCATATTAATCAATATACACGCATACTTAAATGATTAATAGTGGGCATATAGACATATTCGGATTGATTTGGACATATTAGAGTCATTTTTATTTTTTTTATATATAATGAGAAATTTCTTTTTTTTTTTTTGAGTAAGTTATAATGAGAATTTTAGTTGCTACCTAAAAATTAGGGGCGATGTAAAATAAAATATAGGGTAATTACATAAAGCCACCTTAAACTTAAGATTAATTACATATCACCCCTTCTTAAACATCTTCTTACTTGTAAATAAAATAAAAATTTAACATAATCTGCCCATTATAACGGTGCCGCTATTACACGTACTAATTAACCGTGTGTGTTATGAAATAAATAATTTCATTCATAAATTAAGAAATCATATTACTAATTCTACCATTCATCCAAATTTTCAGCCCCTCTCTTTCTCCGGTCCCTATACTGGCACAATCCACACCACCACTGTAACCTCCCTCTTCTTCCTCCTCTCTAACCCTACAGTTGCTGCTACTTCCCTACCCAACCCTCCTCATGCCGATACGACTCACCCCACCCAACCCACCCACAACCGCTACAACTTCCCCCTTCCCAAAACCCTCCCCATGCCAATACGACTCACCCACCTACCCACCCACAATCGTTGCAACTCTCCTAACCCACAACCACAACGATTCCCCCACCTCTCTTCGCTGCAAATCCCTCATCTTACAACCGCCGCAAATCCCCTGAAATTCACGTCCAAGTTGAACAACCTTCCAATTTTGATTTGAATGTTATTTTTTTGAGTTTGATTATAATTTTTGACACAATGAATGTGTAATGGTAGTGTGTTGGTGGATGGTGTTTAGGAGGGCTGCGCCGGAGGAGCTTTGAGCTTTTGACTGTTGTGTAGATGGATTTTTGTGGTATTTGGGTTGGCTATGGAAAGGGAATTTTCCAGTGGGGTGGGGCGGTGTTTAACAAAACCAAAAAAAAAAACTAAAACCCAAATATGAATACGTTTGTCATCAAAACCAAAACGAGCAACCAATTGTGTGTGTGTGTGTGAGAGAGAGAGAGAGAGAGAGAATAAATCATGAGAGGAAAAAAAGCGGCCAACAATTATATAATTTTTAACGATTATGCGATTCTGACAATTATGCTACTTATTAGTGCGACGTGAGTTGCTTTTATTTGAGATTTAAGTAATGGACAATAATTTTAAAGATTAATGTTATTGAGACATAATTGAATGAAATATATTTAATAATGATCTCATTGTAGCATTAAATAAATTTATTATTATTTTATTAGTGACAACTCATTATATTCTCAAAATAAAATAAGTGCAATTACATATCAACCCTTGTGAGTCGCATGTGCAAGTTGTGTGTTATATTTTCAGACGGTAAATTAAACTGACGTTAAGGATTGGATGACTCTTAATCAATTTCGAGATATCGAGAGAAAAAATTGAGAATCACATTCTTTTGGGGTGTAAATTAAAATTTGAGGCATCTTCCAGGGGCAAAGTGCTAATAGCCCAAATCTAAAAAAAATAATTTGTGGCCTCCGAGAAGGATGTGATACCGTTTGATTTTATTTGCCCGGAAATTACAATTTAATCCTTTATTTTTCTTGAAGTAGGCAAAATTATCTCAGTTGCACGTAATTATCTACTAAACTCATACATCATCCAAACCCAAACTATATATGATCAAGAACTCAAACTTACGATATACATTACATTCGTTATTGAATTAATCCGTACGGAATTTTCCAATTAGTTTTAAGCAAAAGCCAGCAAGAATCAACCATCTCGTCCCCCTCTTTTTTGGCTACAAACAGAACATATAAAGAGGTCACAGTGGAAGTTTAAATGGTTCCTCATATTCTCTCTCACGGGCCAAATTCGCAATAGGGTACATTCATCCTCCAAATGCTCCGGAAAACAAGGCTTAATCCAAAGTTTCCAAGTTACAATACCACGAGTTTCTTCATCCCTCGAGCAGCATTAAAACTTTTAAGTTCACATCTATGAAGAACCCCTGGACCAAAGTATAACAAAATGCATAGAACCCAATTGCCTACTTTTAAATTAAAACCACAAGTCAGCAGATCTTTGGCAAAATCAGTCATGTTACGCCATGGGATACCACGAAAAACAACAGTGAGAAACAAAATATAGAAAAAGCTGGCGACAGTTGGGAGTTGAAAATAGGCCAAGTTAACTGGGTAAAGCAACAGAATGCACAAAAATAAATCTGAAAATATCGAGGAGGATAAGAGAAAACCTGAAAACATTCAGAGGATAAGAAGAAACGCTAGCATATTGTTGGATACATTGATTAACTTAGCTCTACATGAACCTCGATAAAGAACGCAGTAGTTGTGCACAAAAATGGGAATGGCGTACAAAAATAGACACAAAAAGGGATAGGTGGTTGGTTAATAGCTTATGCAGCTCCAACTTTCTGAATCTTATTTGGACGACTTCCAGAATCATTCTCCCTAGAGCGTGAGTGCTTCCCATTAAAATGCTTCCTGCCTCTATTGTGCTTTCCTCCCCTGAGGAACATGAATAACATGTTAAGAGCTTTGAACAGTAGAAACAGTATGAATTATGATTAGAGCAAAGAAAAAGATCACAAAGGAATTTTGTACTCAGTATTCTAGTCAAAATATTCAAATAGAATTTAAAAAGCAATGATTGATGAAGTCAATGATACAGATAAGATAAAATTCACTGATACCAACCATCCCCGGTTTCCCTTATTTCCCCCAAATCTTTCCTGATTGCAACGAAGCAGACTCCAATACTCTCTCTCAGCTTCACCTGATAGCAAAACACCACAAAACAAGACCTCCATAAATAACAAGCTCTGAACATCACAGTTTTGGGTAATTGAGAAGTCTTACAAGGACAAAACAAAGCTAGCAAATTACATATCATATAATTTTACATGACACCAACATATGACAGACAACAAAAATTGGCATCAGAAACCAGCAATCTGAAAAACCAAGATGCGGGCATGGAATAAGGAATATAAGCATGCATGCACAACGAAATCAGGAGAAATAGTTCTTGGAGCCTAAATTCCTGCTCGATGTAACCTCTTGCCTACATATACTAAATAAAATGTCTCCTAAATTGCAGACAATATCTTCTTCGCACTCCCCCACCCTACTCCAAACAAAAAGCCAAAAATTGAAATCCTCCGGTTTTTGCAACCTTCCATCATTTTTTTTCATTGCCTAAATCCAAACTACGTTATTAATACCACCCCCCACCCCCGACAAAGTACACAGTTAAGGATGCATACAAGCACTAGTAAACTACCAAATTATAAGCATCTCTCAGACACACAAACACACGACTCAAGTTTCTGCTGTAGTTGTCATTGAAAGGGTTCTATTCCTCACAAATCAGTAATATAGCAAACTGAAAGCAATAGACAACAGGAAATACTAAAAAAGCAAATTCTGCAATCAGGATTTGGAAGTAGTGAACATATTTAGATGTCATTAACTCAAAAAAGTCTTAATCAAACCAGGGTATCCTCATGAAATGCAGAATTTGATTCACGCAACAGAGAAACTTCCAAGAAGAATTGCTAATGAGGAGAGCTTGAGCAACAGGTTGCTGCCTACCAGTTACAGGATCTAAAGTTGCAACAAAATTTTTAACAACCAGACCACCTTCCTCAGCAAGCACAGCAGCAGCACGTGCTTTCTGAGCTGCTTCTGCATCTTCAAACCGTATATATCCTGAATCTGACCCCAACTGGAAATCAATAAACTACACAAAAGAAAAACACAAATCAGTAAAATTGTCAACAGCTATCAACAATGCTTGATTCCAACAGTTTGGGGGGCAGAGGAATCCTTTACGCTATTCTCCAAGCTTCCAAGAATGACAGAACAATTAATGACAATGACATATGAGAGATGATGATGATGATCCAAATTACCAAGAAAAGTAAACAATGTCCATTCAAATTAAAAACAGAAGTAAAAGGCCATCCAAACGTTGGGCGTGCTTGGATGGCTGGCTTCAAAGGGATAGTATTGGAAGAGTATGGCTCTGCCCTTTGCCCCGTGCTGTCTTCAAGGCCGAAAAATGTTCAGTCAATTGCCTTCCACGTTTTCATGATGGTATATTCCTACCAAACCATTATTTCGCTTGTTGGGTTACAATTTCTTGGGACCCATGGACTAGCCCAATTGATTGATGTCACTAGAATCTTACTTTTGAACTATTTACCATTTTCCCCATATGCTATCCAATCAAATCCAATATTGGGGGCAATGTAGTAATTCGTTAACCAGGGGCCACCTTAAACCCCCTTTATCCAGCCATCCAAACACCCCCATTGGATTTTTGTTGAACATGCGTTTTGGAAGTGCTAGTGAATCAAGGTGTGCAACCATCTATATCATGTACATATAGTGGTTAACATCTCAGAAGTGTAAAATGGCACTTATTTACCAATATTAGTCTCAACCTTAAAATTCACTCGAAGACTTCTAATATTAATTTTCTTCTAGTACAATGTAGCAAATAAAGCAAACAAAACAACATCTAAGAGCATCTCTAATGGAAATGTCAAAATTGAGATGTCAAATTTAAATTTGAAGGCTTGTGTGACAATTTGACATCTTCACCTCATGGTAATCCAACCGTTCTGTCTAAATAATTTATTTTATTACATCTTTATCTTTAAATCTATTAGCTTTAAATTTATTGTTGCATTAAACACTCAACAACTCAATAAAATATTGCATTAAAAAGGATTTGACATATAAATTGAGATATGTAAAATGTGGCCGTATGCCAATTTTTTTTTGCCCATTCATCAATTGATATCCCGCTCGGAGAAAGAAGGCATGCCAAAAAGATCCGTTGGAGCCTCCAGCTAGCATATGGCATGCCGGTTGGAGATAATCTAACAACGTACTAATTAAACCAACCGATGTAATTCATTGTTGCCATATCACATCTACTCAAAATTCAAATTTGGGCAACCATTTCATGTGTAACCAATCTCCATTTTACAGAAAAAGGTCCCAACATGAGTGCATTGTTTAAACATTGATAAAGGTAAGCTGGTTTTTCCGATTCTCTATGATAGTGTACTTCAAACATTTAATGAAATGCAAGTGTAACTACTACACCAACTCTCTCTCTCTCTCCAATAGGCAAACCCTTTTTCTGTCACTCATTTCTTCGCCCACCATCCACTCCCCCACCCCCACCCAAAAAAAAGAAGAGAAGAAACCCTCCTTTCTGCCACAAATCCCCTTTTTCTCTCTATTCCTTTCTGAGCTAAATCTTGGGAGCTAGTAATTTACTAAGAAGAAAGAACAACACGACGAATATCCTTCATTTTCGTTTTTGATTTCCAAAAGTAATTCATCTCTTATTAATCCACAAGAGACTATAGAGAGATATGTTGTATCTATATGCCATCCTTCTTTTTCAGTAATCCAAGAGAAGTTAAGGACTTAGAAAGGCATTTAGTACAAAGTAAATAATGGAATAGATCCACAACTATTTCGTCTTGCCACACAATCAATAGCTTCTAAGCCCTCTAACCCAAAATCTTCCAGGCAGGCTCAATATTTTTGGGCATCAGGGTCATCCTCTTGGTATGAATAGCACATATATTAGTGTCCTCAAAAAGCCACTTGAGGTACAACACAGCAACCTACCAGAAAGCAGCAGCACAGAGTTTCGGAAATGAGGCCAGCATTGAAGTACTAAGCACCCTCTCTCACCAGCCTCGGTCAATGGAACGCTCGGATCGATAGCTCTGTGTACTTCTGGTGCTCTCAGATTTCTGTATAATCCTGAACCTGTACTGCTTCTTCACCTGTCCCACCCGGGACACAAGTGGCTTAACTGGTGCCTTCACTCTGATAGATTTTCTTGAAGTCTGCATGTTATGGGCTATACGTATAGGGTTTAAGAAAGAAAGTGAGTATGGGGTTACCGAGATGAAACTGACAGACTGATGGGGTACTTGGTTCATTTTTCTTTCAAGTGTATATAATGTGAGTCAGCAAATTAGTTATGTTGCGGGGTTAAAAAAAAATAATGTCATAGAAATCTCAGGGGAGTAATGGAATTTAGTTTTAACTGCTTAAATGAGGCAACCGACTTTGTGAGAAGCCCAAAAACATGGTTTACAGAAGCCAGTCAAGTAAGCTTCTCTGTATGTGCATTCTAAGGACGCATTTCTTAACTCCCTAGTCAAAATTGATGATCCACCATGCCAAACACACCCATACTCACTGTCATTGACATCCTAGGCATCTTGGGACCAGTACTGATGGAGAAAGGTCATAAAATAAGATGGCAAGGCAGCTGTATTAAAGCTAGAGAAGGTGATAAACAGAAGGAATAAGGCATTGGAAATATACAGCTAAACAAGCAAGGATGCAGAAAACTTATTCCTCAAAACACATTTATGCATTTGGATTAAGGGAAGCAAGATATAAACAGAAACACTATAAGACCAATAATATCCAAAGACAAAAAAATTATGGATTAATCACATATAGGTAGCCGTAGAAGACAGGCAGGACTTAACAATTAACAATCAGTACTTTCAATCAGAAAGAACGTCTTAGAAGACATGATGTTTGTCCTTAATATGCAATATATGTATATAGGTGTACATGGGAAACAAAAATCATAAAGAGATAAATCATCTCAACATAAATGGACACTGACAACTTCGATAGCTACCAACAAAATCAAAACTTCCGAAAAAAGAATTTATAAGTAACAAAAACATGAAGTTCCAAGCAAAAACAACAAATAAGAGGACTTAATAGTACCTTAACAGTGCCAAATTTTTGAAAGACACTCTTCAGATCCTCACGTATAACGACATCTTTGTTGTCCTTATATAACTCAGCTGTTGATTTTTTTTCACCTGTTGCTTGATCGTCCTTTTGAATGGGATTGTCGAGAGATTTCTCTCCATCTCCATTTTCCTGTCCTTCGGGCTCCAAACTAGATTTCTCATCGCCCTTTTCTTCACTCATCTCAACATTCTCCCCATTGTTTTCTTCATCGTCTTTAACATCTTCTGACACCTTTTGTTCCGTACTTTTGGTATCATTTTCCGTGGAATCAGTTTCACCTGATTTGCGACCATCCACAATGTCACTGGCCAGCTCTTGAATGCCATTTTGTTCGGCAGAACCTTCAGCCAAGATGCTTTTCAAGGTAAATGCAACGATTAAGCCTTTGGGGTAACTGCGATCATCAGCCGACAGAATTAATCTAAGCATTTCGATATTGGAAACCACTAAAGTTTACATGGTAGAATGAGATTTACTTTGCTTCTACATTTGAATTGTTTTTACGAGTTGATGATGCATGGGAACGGGAATTCTCAACTTCCTCTGATTGCTTCGCTCTCTCTGCATCAAAGTCCTTCCTGAATCGTTAAAAAACACGTCAGATACACTTGTACAACACGTTTTTGATACACACTCGTGCAACCAAGAACCTTCAAACATATCATATGTGCAATACAACAATAAAAAAAGGGCCAATAACAATGTCAGGTCAATCTAGGGTATAAAAAGGGACATTCCCACATTGGTCTTTCAATCGAAGGTGCTAGGAAGGATGCACAGATACAAACATACCCTCTAGCATTATTCGCACAAATTGGTTGCCTTCAGATTCAAACCACATCCTTGCAATAGTTAGTCCCATACACACTGCTTTAATGAAGAGAGTCATAGCTTGAACTTAGATTCTCAGAAGTCAACATCCTAGGATGAAGCAAATGCCATCATGATACACATACTTGTTAATATGATGTGCAACTAACAGATATACACTATGTAGGATGGCAACAAGAACAAACCTACTAAACTGTCAATTGTAGATCTTTTCAATAAAAGAAAAATTCAAACTGACCTTTGCATCAGTCCGGAACATGAGCTCGAAAATACCAAACAATAGAACTAATGACAAAACATTAATAAAAAAGATCAACTTTGATCCAATAAATTATATGTATCCTATAGTTTAGCCAATCCTGCAACCAATATAAGCCTACAGAGATGTTATTTTGAAAGACATACTTCTTTTCCCCATAGAACTAAATAAAACCAATGAAAAATCATAGCCACCACCAACTGTCAGACTGTTATTAGCATTATACTGAGCTTTTTGTTCAGTTTCTATTTATCCACAAGTTTTTACAAGAAAGAACAGGATGGAACACTGCATATGGTCTGGTTCCCCATTCCCGTGCAAGTACATATGATTTTCTTTTCTATTAAGCATTGCAACCAATTCCATAGAAACTCAAAGTGATAATCATAACTTACTTTGGTTTTAAGTCTAATTCAACACCTGCGTAAACCAGACTTAGGTTCAAAACATTAGCAGCATCTTCCTCAGTTGAGAACTCAACCAGAGCAGTGCCACAGAACAACCTTTTGTCTGCAACATGGCGAGGCAGCCTCACACTGTTAACCTGAAAAAGCATGACCAGATTTATAGACAGAGCCTTCCAACTGCATTAACATAGAAAAAGCACGATTATATTTTTTACAGAGGCTTCCAACTGCATTTAGTTTAGAATAACCACAGCCTCCCAATTTGTGAGAATATAAACACTAATGCTCCTCCAATTATATCAGCTTGTTTAACACTTAACAAATAATAGTTACTTCTTTCCATATACATTCCCCAAGCTAATTATATACAAGAATAAATTCCCCTTCGCATCACTCTAACAAATCTTAGTTCCTGCATTTCCTATCCTTTCAGGAAAATTATACTCGGGAATACATTCTATGCAGACTGTACTTTATTGTTACAATCAGATCATCACATATAAGTGTAAAGACGAAAGCACCACATCTCCACAGTGAAAAACACGATTACGGATTTCCATATGAAATGGAAAATAAGTGTCCTCAGCAGTGATGATGTCAATTAAGAAAGTGTGGAGCAATCAATACCTTCGCATACTGACCAAAGAAAGACTCTATGTCTTCAAGCTTCACATCATACTCTAGTGGTGATGCAGCAATTGTTCTTACATTTAATTGCTCCATTACCTCTTCTGGCTTTAGAAGTTTTGTAGTCCTACCAATCTTCTTCCCTGAAATCCACAATAGCCATATAAATTCACCTTTTCTGTGAGTGGAAAATAAATCCTTCAACTATCAAAGGGACGAGATGCACATTCCAAGCAACCAAACAGAGCTTATGAATAAATATTCTGAAAGCTCACCATCTTCAGAAACTTTTAGGAATGAAGATGTCCTTAAAGTTTCAGCCACAGCTTTCACTGTATCTGCTGAAACATCTTCCGGCTTAGTGTCTCCCAAATCAAGATGATTTCTCATCCGAGAAAATGAACATATCAAAGCCAAACTAACCACTATAGTTTCAGTCAAGAACAACACAAGAAATTCAGATACCCAAGTTTTGCCGTTTATTTCCTAAACATTGAGATCTTCAGAAATTACAAGTTAGTAACACTTCCGACACCCAACCCCTTGTTAGCGGTGGTCACTTACTCAAAGAGTAAACATATAGAATATAATCACAAAAATATTGAAACAACAATAAGAACCACCATAACTTCGGTAATTGCCAAAGAAAAAAAAAAGGGAAAATAGAAGAGAAAAAAATTTTAAGCCCTGTGTTCTGTGCCACTTGATTATCCAGTTAGTGGAAACTCTTCCAGCAAAAATCCAAACAGAGTTTTCAAATTCTCTCCTCCTACTATATTAATTTGTAGGTTTTTCCAATGTATTCTCTGGTATTTTACGGTCTCGAGAGGATTGGACAAAACCTTCTGTTTCAATGTCATTGATTTTCTATTTTGATTCTCGATATATTTGTGTCACATGGGTACCATGTTATGTCATTGGACAATTCTCCCCATTTTTTTTCTTCCACTTCACGTACAAGTGAGGGTCACACGTGAGGGGAGTGTTAAAGCTTGTCATGTACCGGTGTAATAACCCCCCCTCCCCCATGGCCAATTAGACTATGACCCTCATGGAACAATTGAATGGGTTGGATGTCTTTACTGGCGCATAAGGTCTTTCATTTGAATAGCACCAAGACTCTGATCATTGTTTTTTATTGACCAGATATTTTTTTTGAATAAAATCAACCTAATAACTATAACATGAGCACGTGTGGTGCAAAATTTGACACGTGATGAGGCATGTTAAATTATGTAAATATTTATATAACACTCCCTCTTAGGTTCTTAGAGGATAAGTTGGTGGTTTAACACCTGCCTACCAAACCAAACAACAAAAAGTAGAGAAAATGTATCGTCTGAACAGATCATTTAACTTCCAGAATTTATTTTTTTCTGGTATTCCCATATCCATTACTCCTATCCACCTATATTTAAATCAGTTACAATAATTAACACCACAAAAGTATTAACAAAAACATTGATCGTCATAAGCATCCATCAACAAATACCAAAACATGTCACCTTCAATTGAAGGCAGATAGAAAACCGAGATACGCAATGATTGTATTCATATATACAAATATATGCATATACAGATAAATATAAATGTGTGTGTAAATGTATATATCCAAAGCTCAGCAAAAACATGAAGCGAAGGATACTGCCGTCTTGACTCTCACTAAGGGTGCTGCTGAGAAACCTATCTCTTGGAAGATTACTATCACCGAAATAGAACTCCACCTGCGTTCGAAAAATTAACAAACACGTTCGATTTCTGTCGATTCAACACCAAAATCTGAAAACGAAAAGCTACAAAAGCGATTAAATACAACCTGTCGAATCACTTTCTTCGCAGTTTCTTCGTCCAACAACGCCGTCACCATTGTCGCACGGCTTTGCAGAGCTCGAAGTTAGAGAGAGAGAGAGAGAGTGTACCGGGGTGTCTGTGTGATGGCTGAGGGCTAAACGGAGAGTAGGGTTTAGGGTTTTGATGTGCAGGTGGGCTGCTTAGTGTTTGGTAGTGTTTGGGAACAGGAGACCAATTTCTGACCCGCCTATCTGTTCGCGGTAATTCATAGTTTAATAAGATTTTTTTAGTTTTTCAAAATAATAACTATTTCTATCCCCTTAGAGCATCTCTAACAATAGTAGCTATTTTAATTATCCAAAAAATAATTTTTCCTATTTTAGCTATTCATATTTTCAATACATACTCCAAATTTTTTTTTATATTTTTAACTACTCCTTTTAAATATTATTTATCATCCCTTTTGTATTATATTTTTTTAGAAAAGTGAAAGGGAGAAAGAGAGAGAATGGAAGAAATAAGAGGAAGAGAGAGAAAATAATATATATTATGTTTACATATCGCTACAGTGATGCTCTATATTTAGAGTATTACTGTAACAAAAATCTATTTTACAGCATATGAATATAATTTGTTGGAGTCTTATTTTTGGTTTTGATTAGCTAAAATTTGTCTATTTTGAGCATTTGAAGCGTTTGTTGGAGATGCTCTTATAAGGATAATATATTGGGAGAATTACATCAAGACTTTTCTGAAATTTATTATTTAATTACTCCAATTTTTTAATATTTGAAATATTATGCACAGACTTCTTGAAGTCTGTATGTATGTAACGCTTAGACATCTGTCGTCAAATGTCCGTTAATATATATGTAAGTAAATTACACTCAGATCCTCTAAAATTAGTGGACGTATAATATTTAGATCTCTCAAATTTAAAATGTTATATTTAGATCAAAAATACTCCAATCAAATATTTTAAATTTTAAAACAAAAATTCATTTTCTACTGTATCATTTATTGAAATAAAATAAAAAATAAAGCCAAATTTTTCTTAAAAAATCGTAATTAGTGTACAATTATACTATTTGTTGTAATAAAATTAAAAAATCAAACAAATGGTCTAAGTCATTCATAATAGAACATAAATTTTACAATCAAAATTCATGTTTTATTATGAAATTTATTAAAATAAAATTAAAATTAAAAATCTAATTATTTCTTAAGAAATTATAATTAGTATACAATTATACTATCTATTGATTATAAATAAATTTGGACAGCCCAACTTTATGCTTTGTTGAGTGTGTAATATAATCAAACTTTGTGTTGCATAAATTTATCATAACAAAAAAGCCCTGATTGATGGTCAAGAAAGTATATCCAAATAGATTGAGATATTTTCTACTATTTTTTTTTAGACAATTTCATTTAATGGTAGATCATTTACCATGTATTGTTTCAAATTGGTGTCCCCGATTTGGATTGTTCCAAATTTGAGAGATGACATTCAACCAATCTAATATTCTAAATGCGGCAACATTTTTTTTAGTGATAGCTTTCTTTTAGATTGTTTAATTAATTAATATCTTCTGCTAATGTATGTTTGTTTCAATCACTCATTATACCCATAGTTATCTGTATGCCAGGTTGCTTTTCTGTGATCTCTAAGGGCTTCTCTGGCCGGTCCTTTGAGGAGGGTTTATATATATATAAAAGACCATAAATATATAAGTCATTGTTAGCCACAGAAAACAATAACGCAATAAAAACAACAAAGTATCTAATTATGAATGAATCCAAAGCTCGTATTATCAAAAAAGAACCATTTAAGTAAGAAAGCAAGCTAAAAGGTGGAGAATCATGGCGCAAAAATCGAGAGCAATAAAAAAAGTAAAGTGTTGCCGCTAACTCACCATATAAATGTTTAATAAGTAATGCTTACTCTTAGAGTTTTGCGTCATTGAAAATAAATTAATTATGTTTAATTAAGTTGGTTGACTAGCTTAGTTAAGGGATTTAATTAGCATATTAAAGGAATTAATTTTGTTCTAGGAGTAATTATGCTGGCTTGGACAGTGAAATGAGTTAATTTGATTTTTTTGTTCATAATGTATTTAATCATCAGAGCATAAAAGTTAGTTTATTACAGTTGCAATGTTTCAAATTCCATTGTTTATACAAATAAAGTATCAACAAATTTTTATTACTTTAGTATGAAAGAAAGACAATTCAAAAATATTCTTGAAAAATTGTAGTGTTTTGTAGAATTTTAGAACTTTTTGCAAAGATTCTACAACATTTCAAAGGATGGGTCAATTCATGTCCAATGTACACTAAACAAGTCATGTATAGCATGTGTATTTACTATATAAATAACATTACAATTTAGGTTGTAATATATTCTATCTTAGCACAGATGAAGAACAACAATGAAATAAAGAACATGGAGAATGAAATGGAGAACTAAAGAGAGTATGAGAATAAAGAGGAAAAAGAAGAGGGATGTGAGAATGAAGAAGAGGAAGAGACTGAAAAAGAAAGCAAGAATAAGAGGGGGTGAGAGCGAAGAAAAGGAAAAAGAAATGAAAGAGGAAGAGAATGATCGAAAGTAAGCATATTACAAACTCAATGTTTCAAATTCCACTGTTTATACAAATAAAATATCAATAAATTTTCATTATTTTAGTACTCAAAAATATTCTTGAATTTTTATAGTGTTTTTGAAATTCTATAACTTTTTTCTACAACATTTCAAAGCGGGCCAATTCATGTCTAATGTACATCAAACAAGTCATGTATAGCAAGTGTATTTACTATATAAATAACATTGCAATTTAGGATCTACTATGTTCTATCTTAGCACGCATGGAGATCAATAATAAAAATAGAGAATGAAATGGAGAACCAAAGAGAGAATGAAATTGAAACAGAGAGTGAAAATGAAAAGGAAAAAGAAGAGGGACATGAAAATAAAGTAGAGGAAGAGGCTGAAAATGAAAAGTATGAAGAAGAAGGGGTGAGAGTGAAGAACAGGAGTGGAAGAGGAATAGAATGAGCATCCTCTTGATTTCAATGGCATTGTAATGTCTGTGTGGCGAAAATCATGCTAGAACTTGATCATCATTGAAAGAAGAGGTTCGCAAATCATGCAGAACTATCTGAACATCGCGAGAGGCAAGCCATCATTAACACCTATACGCCTGACCTGAATGACTAGCCAAGGATTGTCTTATTTTTATGTATTTTCTAATACGTTTTTTTTCTATCTATGTTTTTAGTGTACTTTGTTATATTTTTCTTCATATTTTTCATTAATTTTAAAATGTAACCTTGGCTATATTAATGAGAAGTCTAGTTATCTTTAAGTGTCTTTTAAATTAAGTTCATTTTAAAGTTAACTGCAAATTCAATTTTATCTTTGATTATGTTTACCGAGGTAAGAAATGTCTAATCATACCAATTGCTTGTCATTAATTACAAATTTTCAAGTCATAGCCAAACAGTCCAATATCAATTCCATAATTCTAGATGATGCAATCAGACCACGATTGGGATCTCCATATAATTTCAAATTTATATTGCGATAAATATGAATGATATTTGGCTATAGAGTTTGTAGTATAGATAACCTGAAGGGAATTAAGGAATAGGACTCTTGCCTTCCTACAAGGCTCCTTCATTTGTAGATTTTATTAACATATACAATGTAATTATAAATCAACTATTTCAACTCCATATTATTGGAGCAAGATAAATCACTAGCTCTGACTTTTCACTCAAGTCTCTAGAGAATTACTATTTTAGAAGATAGTTGATCTGTTGAAGTTTTACTTTTTGTGGGAATTTGATTCTTATTACATAAAACTACTACATAAGTCTAGGTTAAAAAGGTAAATAAGAGCTCATTCCTATCCACTGCTTTCTTTGCTGGTAGATCTGCACATTGATTTGTTTCTCTCTTCCCTTATTTGATTTCTTCTTTCTGCATTGATCTAACAGTCACCTGCAATCATAAACAATTGGACTATAAATGTGGTTCTGCTTGTTGGAGGTATTCATTGGCACAATGACCAGTTGAGCATCCAATGTATTCTAGTCCTTCAATTTAACAATTAGTGACATTTTCTTATAAATATATGCCTGGTATGAATTTTTTATTGTGCAATAAACAAAGTATACTACTTATACCTAATTTAGGAAAATAATTTTGGGATCATAACTAAACACAACTTGGCTTGATTTAGTTGGTGCTTTGGATGGATTAAAAAAGTTATTTTTGGACTCATGAATCATCCTAACCACCTTAAACAATGAATAGTGTATCTGGAATAAGTTTTTTACAGTATGTATGAATCTATCTATATTTATCTATATACGATCGAATTGCTTGATAGAGAGCCTAGAAAATCTTCCCTCCTATTTTTTTACTTATAACACAACCAACATTCACCATATATGCTCTTTGAAGATCCTCATTTGATGGGGAATTGGTAGTTACAAACTTGGACTCATCCACTTTACATGGGCAGGTTTTGAATTTGTACATATATTTTCAAGATGGGTATGAATGGAATACGAATGAAGGGAGGTATAAATTATGTATATTGCACCGGCTATTACTAGTTACTCACTAATTGATAAAATTAGTTTGCCAGAACACTCACAAAGTTAAGCATAACAGAACTACTATTGGTTATTGGTTGTTTGCTTGTTTTGTAGGTTTAGAGATAGCAAAGGTGTAGCTCGGCACCTTCCTTGGCACAAAATTTTGCCTACTAATGCTCAACCAAGGCACGTTGGAACACAAAAATTTGAGCATTTATCGTGTAATTTCTACAAACTTACTTGTTAATAAGAAAAATGTGTATTTGAAGAAAACATGCCCCAAATCAATTATCAAGTTGATTATCATATCGTTGTCTGTATAACCATTTATCAATTATCGAGTTAACGTAATAATATAAATAGTACGCTAAAATACAATTTTATCCATCTAGCACTTCATAGTCAAACTTAATAGGATAAAAATCATAGTTGATCCTTGAACTTTGCATTCGGTTTCAATTTGGTTTTTAAATTTTCAATTGTCTTAATTTAGTCCATTAACTATTAATTTTATTTCAATTAAGTAATTCCGTCATTTTTACCATTAGGTCAACGCTGAAATGAATCAAGTTAGATTAGTCTCTAGTTGATCTAACGGTGGAAATGGACTGAATGACTTAATTGAAACAAAATTGATAGTTGAGGACTTAATTTATAAAGTTTGACTCAATTGGGTTTGGACTATCCATGCTCAACTATTGAGTTTAAATTCTTGTTCAAACCCAATTAGTTAAACAAAACCATATTTCACTTCTCAGCAATAAATAATTAGAAATAATGATAAAAAATTTAAATATCAGTCCTACAATAATCAAACCTTATAAATTTAAGCGTAAATTCTATTTTATCTCCAAAAAAATACAAAAATTTTCAGTTTGCCCCCAAATAATTAATTTTTTCACATTACCCCTCAAAAAATAAAAAAAATTACAATGTAGTCTACTGTCTTATTTTTGTTTGATCGTCCATCTGTTTTGTGTCAAATCAATCAATCAATCAAAAACCACAAAACAGACGAACGACCAAATAAAATAAGATGATTTACCACATTGTAATATTTTTTATTCTTTAAGAAAACAATATGAGTGAGAATTTTTATATCTTTTAAGGCAAAATGAAATTTTTCCTAAATTTAAATTTTCAAAACTTATGAGTGAGTGAGAGAGAGAGAGAGAGAGAGTGAGAAATGTTGTTCCAAAACAATTTGAAAATGAGTTTGGGGTAGTTGGTATTTAAATTATTTATGGATAAAACTAGAATAACTTATATACATATGAAGCGAGCCGAATTCATTATTTAAATTTAGCTTGTTCCTAAAACGAGTCAAAATCTTTGACAATTGTTTCAATTCAAAATTTGAACGCATTCGTAAGAATCAGGCAGTACTTAATACTACTCAAACCATTTACCGGACATAGAACGCCCAGCTAGCAACAGACCACGGAAATTGGAAATCATATATGAAGTTAGATAATGATTCTTCGGCTATTGACAGCCATCAAATATTTTTTTTCTGTTTGTTTTTTTAATGACGAAGAACCTCTCTAAGATAGAATAACATTGAATCTCCAGTCACTCATTAACCATAAATGTGCGGTTAAACCCAAACAAAAATTGAAGTAAAACATTCGAATTCAGAGTTTTGCCAAAGCTAACCTCATACCACCCGACTACCCATGCCAGTTTTCTTTTGTAGTTATCTTGCTCGTGTAGGGTGGTTCATTCAGGATGAACTCCAATGGACAAGGGTCCAACTTCCAGCTATTAGAGCAACTCCAACCGGCTCAACAAAAGGCAACTGTTAGCCATTTTGCTGAGCCAGTCCAAAAATTTTGGCTCCAACGGGCTCTCCATTTCGCTCGCTACTCTGCCTCATCCCATTCTCACTCATCAATCCTGGCCAGCAAGCTTCTCTCTCGTCAGAGTTCTCTCCCCCAATTTTGAGTTGTTCTTCATCAGATTTTTGCGCCAATTTTGGGGTTCTCCCTTTTCTATATCTCTGTTAGTATTAACTTTGGTTTTCTTGAATTGGATGTTGCATTGAGTTGCATTTGTTTAGCTAAAAGACTAACTTTGACATGCCCACAATGTGTTTGATGAAATGCCCAAAAGCTGTAAATCAAATGACACTAGAATCTTTTAACATATGTGTTGGAGGATGAATTAATGGTAGAATTAGTGAACAAATATGGGCCAAAAAAATGGTCCACAATTGCACAACATTTACCGGGACGTATAGGAAAGCAGTGTCGGGAAAGGTGAGATTTGAGAGCTTCATCTTAATTTATGTTCTTTGTATAGTTGCTTTGTCATTCCATGCTCATGTGGCTTTCTATTGTCAATGACTCTCAAAAGGGTCAGTGGGAATTGAAGAGTGTATGAGTGGTTTTTCTGGGTTTATGTTGTTGAACGTTCACTGTAAAGTGCAACTTCGTTTACATGATTTGATGATTATTAACAAATAAAGAACTACACTTGAAATTGTATCTGTTACTCGATGCATTGATATATTTGTTGGGTTAACAATAGTGAGCAGTCACTTTGTGCAAATAATGCCAAAGGTTAAAGTCCACACCCAATCCATCCTTCCCAACACCCTCGACTAACAAGGCCAAATTGAGTAATGCCCCTAAACCATGCAATCTCACAAATTTGGTATAGTTACAACATTTTGTCTGTCAAAAGAATCTAGTGTCATTAGTGATTGTACTTGTTTGATTGGCTCTTCACCATCTGAAATTGGACAATTATTTTGAAAGAAAATCACATTTTCAATTATTCTCATTAATAGTGTTGGAATGTTGTTTTTGGGTTGACCTCTTGACTAGTTCATCTGGAATGGTAGAATTAGTCTCATCGACTGGTTCATCAGTTCTCCATTGATGATTTAGTACATGGAAATCAGAATCTCTGATGCAGCTAATTTAGACAAGTAGCAACTCAACATTTTATTCTTGAGAATGATGACTTGGTCTGTTGGGAATCTCTCTGATGCTTTGTTTGTTTAGGTTCCCAAATGCTCTTGCAGCATGATTTTTATTAGTCATTTTTTGCCCAATTTCAACAATGAACCTTTATGCACCTTTCTTTTGAACTTTTTTCATCAACAATATAGGTTTTCTGATGGATGAACATAGATATTACTTCACCAATCTCTTGAACGACGGAACAAACGTAAATGAGTTTAACACTCAATTAGTAGACCAAATAGCAAAAAGTGGTGCAACTCTTAGCAACTCTAATCCTTCAACACCAGAATCGGTAAATATGGGAGACGACAGTGGGGCTTGGAGAGGCCAAGTGGAAGGAAGGCTGCAAAAGAGCAAGCAAGAAAGTCAAAGAGCAAACTGTCTGAAGGTGATAATTCAAGTTCAACATTTTTCGTAAAAATGTTTGGAGAAATGAAGGAGGAGAAAAAGATGCTGGCGGATAAGAAAGTCGAATTCATGGAAAAAAATTTGGTTGTTGAACAAGAGAAGGTACAACTTGAGCAATTGAAGGAAGAACAAAAAATAATATTGATGGATATGAGTGTTATGCCTCCGATTCAAGCTAAATATTTTAAGCGTCTCCAGATGGAAATCATGACAAAGAAAATATAGTTCTTTCTTATTCATAGACTAACAACTTTTGAGTAGTAGTACAATAAACAAATACTGTAATATTATGCATACTTAAAATATTCGTAGACAATGAATGTTTAAATATTCGTAAACATTCCATGCATATTTTACAGGTGCTTGACTAGATCAGTTTGGAGTCTCGAATGAGTGTCTGTGTCTCGAATGCAATGTTGACCATGGATAGAATACGAAGGAAAAGAGGTCGATTCATTCAAAACCTCATTTGCAATAAATTTGGGGATAGATAGGCGATTCTGCAAAATAATCGCGATAAAGTCTCTCATGTCTTTCAACTCGATTGCGAAAAATAACAAAATGACCTTTAATAAAACCACGACGTATTGCGGAGTTGTTTTCAGTATTAAGTTTCTTCATTGCCATAGTAGCAACCACTAACATCTCCAAGTCATCATCGAAGTCAGAATCATTAAGAATCATCATCAATTTACCATTATGAGCCATAAAAAAGAAATATGATTTCAATATTAGTAAAATAAACTTGAGATATATGACAATGAGAAAGGGGAGGTCTTATTTATACATTTTCAAAAATATGACCATTGTAAATATGATCGTTGTAAATATAACCGCTGAAAATATGACCGTCGTAAAATTTAAAATTTGATGACGTGACGTGACACACCACGACATCATTATGACGCTTATGTGTTATGCCACGTGACATTTTTGAATTATATTATTGAAAGTTAATTAATATTAGTTGAAATAATTAGCTAAAATAGAGAGCATGGTTCGAATAAATTTTAAAAAATGAATAGTTAAAATAGTGAATACAATATTTAAATATATTTTAAATAACTATTTTATTAATTGTGATTAGAGATGCTTTTATAAAGCTAGTTCACAGGTTTTCACCGAGTTGGTCTGAGCACAACTCCTTTTTATTTTTTTTTATTTTTTTGTTCAACAGTAAAAGTGTCCAAATCAACTTATGCACAAGTTAACTAATTCTTCCCTCGTTCCAGTCAAAGATAAGTCATCCACGCCGGGACTAAAATATTCGTGAGGAATAAATTTCTCATGATCTGACTCAAAAAAGTTGTCAAAATTCAAATTTAAAATATTTAAACTTATAACACGTCCATGTTACCACTTGGACTACCTCTTAAAGTTAATTAGAGTGCCATTCAACTACTTAAAGAGAGATCCTAGACATCCATCCCAGAACAAAGCTATATGATACCACACCATTGAGGGGAAAAAAACATCCTGCTCAGATTTTGAGTACAAAACATGCACATTGTAAAACATTCAATATTCAGAGAGTCCACCACAAATTGGAACTCACGCTTAACTATAACAAGAAGCATAAATTGTGTCGATTCGTCACACTTATTAGCACAAAATTGCAAATTCATGGAAAACCCAATATCATGATCCCTATCTACTTAGTGGGAGCACCTTAAAACAGTCTTTAACTTATCTGCTGGGATCTCCAAATTTGACAAACCCCGAAAAAAGTCCTCTTGCAATCATTTATGCATCACGCTAAAAATATTAGCGAAGTTCATTGCTATAAAGAAACAGTTCAAAATCATGGTTTTAATCATTATCCAATCACACACAATGTTACCACACAAGCTCCACTCCCTCTCAACTTGCAAATCCTTTTTTGCAATCTTAATAGCATCCCTAGTAAAGAGTTTAAGACTCCCGTGATTTTATTTCAAGAGGCAGTAAAAACACACAACCCACCAATCCATTTCTTTACCTCCCCTTTTTCTCATGAGTATGTTTCTCAATTTCTGCATTTTGAGGCAGCAAAGTCCAGGAACTACTTGAACCCTATTCTTTTCACATGAATTCCTCTTCCAGTTCTTGTAAGGACTTATTGGTTGATGCTATCTCTTTATTCGAAGTCATTTTCTCAGCTACCATTAAATGTTTGTAGCTTCTTACCTCTGCTTGCCTCTCCTTTTCAAGCCTGTCCATCTCCTCCCGCCGTTTCTGAAGCAATATTGGCATGTTAGAAAGAGATGAACAATAATTAAAAGCACAACAGAGATCATACCAAAATCCATTCAATTTCTAAAACAATATCCCCAAGTAGCTGTGCCAAGCTCCAAGATTTCATCAGGCTTTTGGGGGGTTCAGGAACTTTCTCATTTTGGACCATGGTGTGTTCCATGTCCTAGGCCCCTCCAACTTTAACAAACTTGGCCAAGAGTAATGACACAATGGGTTCTGACAGTTATGGGAGATGTGCATGCTCATCCAAAAAAAAAACCCAAAAAAAAAATGTGTTTGTTTTGGAGGGAATACACGTGCATTCATATCCCGAGCAGGAATTGAGATCTGCTCTTATTGCTTTGGTTGTGACAAAGAATACCACCCAAGCTGACACAGACTGCCAAATTCTGCACTCTCTTTACCCACAAACTTTCCACTCCCTTTTTCAATTTCTTCTACTTGTCTAATTACTCCACACTTCCAAGTGGAGCATTTTTAGCAGAAAGACAGCTCGAACATAACAAAAAAGGTCCTGGCTTAATATCAGTAGAGTGACATATGCAGTTACCATTAAGAAAGGGAGAAATTATCAAATCTCTCTCCACCAAATGCAGAAAGCAATCAGTATGAAAACTGAGAATATACCATGAGGCTCTATCATTTCATTACTGTACGTTGGCTTTAACAAAAGAAATGACAACAGCAACAAACAACCCAAAAAGCACAGATTTCACAGTTTTTTTTTTCAAGATTATTTACAGATTCTATGGTGCATATTTTTTTCTATTTGGTAAGGGCTATAAATAAGGTCAAGGTTGTTTATAAAAAAAAAGTACTTGATTGTGAAGTAACTCTAGAGTCAAGTAACATGCGTGGAGGAAATTTTACAATGAAAAGATACATATCCATCCGAAAGGGAAATTAGGGATCCGCTTCGGAGAAAAAAAAAAGAGAAATTACTTTCTATCAATCCTATTTGCCTTCATATTAGGACTTAATTTATGTCCCATAGCCCAATAACTTCAAATTTATCTGACTACAAAATACAGAAATCTGCTCTAATATCGAAATTTGCAAATTTTCTTCCTTCACCCAAGGGTTATTCCAGTACATAGAGCTACACCATTCCAAAAGTGACAATGGTCAGGCCTAAAGAGTGAGATACAGTAGCACAGAGGAATGCTGTCCGGTGTGGGTAGGAAGGGGGAGAAGGTGGTTGGTGCTTTTTTCGGTGAGAGGGGAGGGGAGGGAAGATGGAACTTTTTTAATGTTTTACAAGGGCGTGATGGACACCATGTAACTGAAACAAAACCAGCCAAAATCAGTTGCAATTGGAGCTCATCTGATTCAGTCTTTCACCTCAAGGGTATTATATTGTACTCAAATTTTCTTTGTACTAAAAATTGAGATAAAGATCACAGACTGGGAGGCTTGGGATATTATTCATACCTGATGGAGTATTGTCGTTATTTGAACAAATCTCAGGGGACTTCATGATAATTAACAATCAATGTGCTGATATCTAAACTATCATATCATGAATTCAATTACACTGCAGTGAGCATCACCTGATTGAAATTAGCCAAGCAAAAATGAAACTCACTTTATCTCTCAGCTGTTGTTTCCTCTCTGCTCTTTCTGCTGCATTAACTGCCTCTCGTTCAGCTGCATACGACAAATAGTGATTTAATACTAAGAAAATTCATGACTGTGACGACCCGTATATTAATAAATTGTTGACACGCTAATTAGATCATTAATTATGATTCTATATAATTGAGATTTATTTTTTTTAGGAACAAATGGACCTCAAATATAGACTCTTCACGCGAAAACAAGTCAAATGACTATAATTTAGGTCAAATTTCGTAATCATATAATAAATGAACATATAAATATCTATATGTGTGTGTGTGTGTGTTGTGAAAGGATAAAATACTATTCTAGATCTTTTTAGATTTGAAATCGTGCAAGTAGGAAAAAAAAAAAGGGAGAAAGATTTCATGGACTAAGTGTCCATAACATACTTGGGGACCAAGCAAGTCTTGGCTATAAAAAGCCAAGCAAGGCCAAGCAACAAGCACGGCTGAGAGGAAGAGAGAGAGAGAGAGAGAGAGAAAGAGAGAGGGGAAGGGGAAGGGGAAGGGGAAGATAGAAAAAAGATAGACAAAGAGAAAAAAATTTATGAGATTTTGGGGTCAAAAAAATTAAATAGGGAATTTTACTTTCGATCATTACCGAATTGAAGTGTCTTATTCGGGGTACTTCAAATTTCTTATTTATTGAAGATATTAATGATTTTGAGGTACGGGGTAATATACAATATGTTCCTATCTTTTAAATCTCTTTGCAAAGAGTGTCATTTCACTATCTGAAATTTTGTATTCCTATTGATTATTCTGATTTATATGAAATTCTGTTAATGTTATCGGTTGACCTGTACATGTACGTTGAGCTAAATACTTTGGGATTGATTGGTACATGTACGAAGTGTATTTGGGGGCATAATTGGTAAAATGTGATTATGGTCCTGCGGAGTGCGATTGTGATTATAGCCCTGAGAGGTGTAATGGTTCGATATAAGTATGGATTTTAAATGCCGAATTGTCACTAATCTTGTCACCAAGAAGATCCGAGCATGAGGCTAAGCTTGATAGATATTGAGCTATGTGACTTATCGAATTGGATTCTTGATTCTTTTATCTATGATTGTCTATCGATTGAATTATTTGGTATTTGATCATTCATATTCTTTTCTAGTTGATCATATTGTTTTCTGTCATATTGTATACTTCCCCGCCTTTAATATTTTTCAGGATTATCTCGGAGGGAAGGACCAAAATTGATTTTTGAAGAATCGAAAACAAACGAATCTTGATATAATTTTTAACTTTGTGGGTTTTTTGGGGTGATGTATAATTTGAACAAATTCGTTTTTATATTGAGGAGACTATTTTATTAGTATTTGGAGATCAAAATTGCGATTATAAATTTATTAAGGCAATTAGAGCTCTGGCCCTATACTCGGAGATTTATTTATGGTTTATTATCGATCAATTGATTTAATCAAATAATGGGTCCGAAAAATCGGGGCGTTACAAAGACCCAAAAATGTATGACCCGAGAAGTAATAACATATGGATCAACTTACACCTGGGTATTCTTACACTGTCAAAATCTCTTTTTCTACAGGATTCTTATTTTTCAATCAACCACTAAATTTAATTTTTCTTTTTACTATGCTTTTCATGCATAAAAAATATCAACTTAATCATTTTTTAGTGCTTTATCAACGAATCCATATTACTCTCCACATTATGAAAGATAAAACTTTAATTTAAAGCACGTTGTTGATCAAGCAGGGAATAAATCTTAACGGATTCGTTATGACTTGTATTATATGCATAAGAGATACATTTACTCCAATGGTTGAATTAAACAATATGTGTGAACCTCATAAAAAATATTACTCATCATTTAGTAGTCATTCTCACACCAAGCAAATCCACTTCTAGTTTATAAACAAAAAACCACAAAATCAAAAGAAACAATTAGTACTAGTGCATAAAATACTATAATGTTCATAAAATTACCTTTCAAATCAGGTTTTCTCTCCACCTTTGTCCGGTTTAATCTATTAACAATCTCGTTTATTCGCTTCTCCACTCTCACAGTGCGGACCTAAATGGAGCACGAGCATGAGACAAGGATCTAACTACAAAGTCCATGCTCAATCCAAGAAAGGGAATGCAATTCACAAAGCACAAAACCGAACAGTAATTAGACACACAAAAAATTTTAAATGTATTAAGCACCTCACCATTTTTGGATTGTGGAAACCAACTTGGCCAACATCCATAGAGGCAGTCTTTTTTAAATTTTGCCATGGAGTGTAAACAACATCAACATTATTCACCTTGTTTCCTGCCACATAAAAACTTCAATGAAGTTATGACATAGCTACAAGATTACTTTGATTAAATCTAAAAAGGTGTGAAATATACATCATAAAAGAAGGAAATGTTTTCCTTCATTTCTTTTAAGCAAAAAACCAGTTGTCAGCTGACACAATTAATGAGTAGGAGGTGTGATGAACCACAGTAATGCAGTGTTTAGTACCTACCATACCTAATTTATGTCAGGTTCGTATTTTATTCAATTCTAGTGTTGGATTTTGTTAGCTTCCCATGTCTTTCATGGTTACAAAAACAAGTTCAATCAGAAGCCACAGTTACCTCCCATCAAATCAGTGATTTAAACTGGAGTTTTTTTGTCTTATCTATTTGAGGTTGTAAATCATATGGTTAAAGATATCAGATCCATGCCCTTGATATGCATGCATCATATTTTCAATCTACAATTAATGTTAGAGATTTATAAATCCCACATAAAATTGTGTCTAGGTGCAAAGCGCAAACTTAAAACATTTTCACACCAGTTGTAATTTGATCCTAACCTCAAATAATAACTCCCTAATTTCCTAAATACTACGGTACTCTAGTTGAAGGAAATGCCCATCTATAAACAAACTCTTAATAGGACAGGAAATCTTTGTGGGTTTGCCTTGGATAGAATTCGCTTTGATTAGTTGAGCACAATCTTCCAGTAAGCCTTCAGATATCCCATCTATTGTCTGACCCTTGTGCAGTCTCACATAAACATGGGCTGAAGACATTTTATCAACATGAAACCTGCAGTAAAATGCATTCTGTCAAGAAAGTACTAAAAATCAAGAGAGTATCATCATTGGTAAAATAGAATGAAACACCTGTGCTTCATTTCATGAACACACCAAAACTCACATCCAACGCACTAACCTTCAAGTCTCTAACTATTCGTAAGTTAAAACCCAAGTTAAAACACTGCATCTTGACTTCTCTTTATCTTCACGTCAAATCACTCAATTTTCTGAAAATAGTGCAAATTACCGGAACAGTAGCATGTGGGTAATAAAAAACAGATTAAATCATTTCATGGATCACAAAAAATTCCAATTACCAAAGTAGTAGCTATTGTCAAGGCACACATTTACCAAATTCATAGCCTATTGACCTATAATTTACAAATTAAACTATATACAAACAGAGTACCCACAAATGGCAATTGCGTTAGCATCATTTAAACCCGAGCAAAATTGAAACAATCGCAAAAAAAATCAATCAAGATAACAAATTACATTCAAAACTCTGTAATTTTTAAAACAAACCTTATCCCCATTGGCACACACACACACACGCAAATTTCAAACTTACATATCTGAGGGTGAATAAAATTTCCAAGATTGAAGCATGCAATTTTTTTTAAAAAAAATTGACTGTAAGACTGAAATTTCTCACAACAATCAATAGGAATAATATGAAGACCAAGAGACGGTAACTAATCGTAATTTTCAACAAAAAAAAAAATAGTTATCAAAGAGAGATTCATATATACAATAGATAAGTTGAGAGATTGGTGGTACCAGATGTCTTCTGAGAAGCCATATTTGATGAGCTCTTCGTTCTCATACTTGTCTAGCCCCATGAAGATGGTGTAATCACCGGCCTCGGGTCGGGCTTTGAAGTAGAACACCATTTTCGCTCAGCCTCGGCCCTCCCCACACCCACACACAAGAACGCAAATTCTCCTCTAGGGTATCAATTCTGAGTGGAGTAGTCATGCTTTAACCTAGATTCGTATTTATCATGGAAAGGAAACGCATTAGCCAATGTTCTTGACCCTGTTTTGTTTGGTGACTAATTCGGCCGTCATCGCCACGTAATGTGGCCATCTAATCTAATCTGATATGATAGAGAATAACCAAACCCAAAGTCAACCCATTTTTTTTATACTAGCTCGTGCAGCGCGGGGTTTTTTTGAGTTATGATTTTGTTTTTAAAATAATTAAATAAATATAATAATAAATACCTACTTATAAATATAATTTTTTGAATATTTCTATTATATAATTTGTAATAGACATAACACTACATATTTCCATAATGAATATTATTTTTTATTGTTTTATTTTCTCTTAAGTTTTGATGAATTATTTTTTTATAAACCTTTATCCTTAAATTTTAGAACTTTTCACATGAAATTAATTATTTAGATTAATTTTATTTGCAACATCATAGTAATGGTACAAATATATTTTATAATATGTGGGTATATATAACTAAAAACTATCGTAAACACTTATTAAATCATAAAAAATATGGAAGGGAACTATTTTAAGTTATGATGGTCATTTAATTATAAATAATTGGTTGAACAAATTTAAAAAATTAATTTGTGATAAATAATTTAATGTAAGACTGAACATATTTGTAACATTGTTAATCGATACAAATAAAATGATTTCTAGTATTGTCAAAAAACATAATTAAAGAGGATTTATTAAAACTAAAACATAAAAAGAGAAATAAATGAAAAGCTAGGGTTTGATATTTTTATCTAAATTATATTAAAATAAATCTTATACTAAATAAGATTTTAGTGTATTTATGTAATTTTATTTGAAAATTCAGAAACTTGTCATCAATTAATGAAAATAAATAAAAATAAAATTAATTATTTTAATAATTAATTTTTGTCTTTTAAAAGAAAGAATATGAAAGGCTTGGATATGTATAATATTAATGAAGTTTTATTAATATGAATTTCATATTAATAATGTTAGTATTGTGAGAGTAAAGTTATTCAATTAAAAGTTTAACATCAATTAAATCTTATTAATATGAGGTCTAAATTAAATAAAGTTAGTATTGTTTTTATATATTATTTTAGAGTAAAAGTAGTCAATCAAAAGTTTTTCGTGATAGTGTATTTTTATAGATGGTATAGATTAGTTGATGTACACGAGCATTGCACATTCATCATTTTTACTTTTATTTGAATATTACTTGATGTATGTAATTAAGGTATCTTCATACATAATTAAACTCAATAAAGATGTAAAAAAAATAATCAAATGTACAATATAGATACTGATGAGATACAATTCCTCAGCTTTGGTCTCTTTTGGCTTATAAAAACTGATAAAATTCAATCATTAAATAGACCATAACAAGAGTTAGAAATCAAATGTACAATATAGAAATTGGTCTCTTTTGTTTCTTTTTATATAAATTTTTAAGAATTTTTAAATCAATTAAACTGTATAATACTAACAATAGTAAATGAAACATGGATGACAAATGGAGGATCAAATTGACCTCAAAAATCAATTGTAATTCATACGCACTAAAACTTCGTGCCAAAAACAGGAAAGGAACTTCTGATTGAGGATGCAGTAGATCACTGATTCCCAACATAAGTAAAACTTTTCATACCAGCTCGATTGGAAAAATCGGATGACACTGCAACCAAGTGATTTGATAACTTAAAATTTATACATGTTTGGTGTGGCTTTAGAATATCCTGGGGATCATAGGAAATTTTTCTACCACATTTGCTCAAAGTTTGTATCTCGATTTCATTAAATGTCATCATAAGTTGCCAAAAAATAACTATTGAAATCTTAACATTGATTCTGATGATGCACAAATCGGCATTGCGTAAAATCAACAGTAAAAAATGTGTAAAAGATACAGTTAATGAGCAGTAGTCAATCAATTAATAATTAAAGCTGTAAATAAAGAGCCAATACAGAGATTTATAGGGTTTGGTCCAGATTACCTACTCCACTATCGGGAATGACAGTGGTGTTCGGAGATTTTTATTGATGAATAGTGTAACCGGGAATATATACTTCAGGAGTATTACAATATTTTAGGAGAGGAGACCAATGTGTGTAGGGAGGTATAGTGTGTGTAGGGATCTTGTAGAGGTCTCAAAGTCATGCCCTCTATATGGAGATGACTATATTATATAGGTTTACTAAAGCGGTGACGTGAGGAAAGGGGTTTCTATCATTTTGGTAAGTACAATTTTAGTAAGATTAGATCTCCGTATCTCGATATTCTTTCCCTTGTGTCGCTATTCAATCAAAGGAAGATACTGGGTTGGGTTGATCCTGATCTTGAGCTTGGACTTGAAGTGGGCTGGACTTGAACTTGCATTGAAGTGAAAAACGGAGGAGAGGAGCAAGAGGGCAGGCCATGGGTGACGCCCACTTAGAGACCATATGGACGGCGGCCCCTTGGGCGGCGCCCCCCTTTGGGGATCCTTGACGTTGGCCTCTTGATGTCCTTTTGGATTTCTTCTTAATGGGTCAACCCAGCTCCGATTGGGTTCTTCTTTGGACATTCTTGGTTTAATTAAATTGGGCTTGACCTAGTCAAATTCGGGCTCATCAAGTTCCATAATTTTTTCTAAGATGAAAAAGAGAAACAATATTTTATGTACTCACTCAATCGAGAGAAATGACCAAGGGATATGAGATCAAGAGAATTTTGAGAGTCTCTGTTCAAAAATAATCCTATTATCTCTACCCTTCCAAGATGAGTAATGTTACATGGACTTAAAAAATAGACTTAAAAATTAGACTTGATAATCTCAACCAATTAATTTTCATATAGGGACAGTTGACACAAAACTCAATAGTTTAAGTCATCTATCTTTCGACAGATGTAGAAATGAGAATGAAGATCTTGGTTTTGAAATTTAAGCTTTCAACACAATTAGCTGAGTAATCTCATTATATCATTTTGTAAACTAATAATTGTGGAAAATAATTTGCTTATCTAGAATTATTTGGGGTCTGTAGCATCAAGAGTGGCGTTTGGGAAATGGTTTATGAATTTGGAAGGTATGATTGGTGAACAAGGACAGGAATTCAATGGTATTGCTTCTGTAGACCCTCAAAGATACATAATCAAGCGCATGAAAATCACAAAAAAGAATTGATCAAGATCCTAGAAAGAAATGAAACAAAATCGCAAGAAAATGTAAAAGCTAAGAATGCAATAAATTGAAACACACAAATGATTCCAAAGAGATCTACAATAAAGGAAAACAAAACTCTTGTATTGACGAAGATGATCTATGACTACAACAACGAAAAAAAAAAAAAAAAAAACCAGCAACGAGAACACCGAGAAATCTTCAACACTTAAAAGAATAAAATAATCCCACTGCTAATAAAATACTACAAAACATTTAGAAAGATCCAATGGGACAAATAGACTTGGTTTAATCCCAAGAGCTTCCAATGGAATATAGATCAATGCAAAACTTTCCATGGCAGAGCATATCTCATGGCTTGGTCGAATTTTCATAGTTGAGAACCATGCACTTTCCAAGCATGCAGCATTTCGGGATTGGCTCACAAGAATTATCAATGAAGACCATATTCTTGCCATCAACTTGTTCACGACAACCACCTCCTGGTGTTATGCAAGAAGACATTGAATCTGAAGCTCTCTCTTTTGAGATTGTCGAAAGGTATGTGGAGTTAAATATATGGAGTGTTAGAATTTGTAATAGCAGGCCAACCCAACAGCCACATAAACTGTCGTCATTACGGAAATTCCACATGAATTTATTATTTATTAACTAAAAAAGATAGTGCTTTCCAGTATTTATTTGCTAAGGCAACCCAATAGCCACATAAACTGTGGCCATTATAGACAATATTGTGAATTTATTATTAACTAAAAGAGATAGTGCTGTCATTATTCATTTTGTTAAGGGTAATTTTGTCGTTAAAAAGTTTTTCAGCTATAGGGATAGAGACATTTAGAAGTAGTATAGATATAGATAGATATAAGTTTGTTCTTATATTTAGGTGTTTCAATAGATCGAATTTTGACCTGAATTAAATTCGAACTCGAATTGGTTAGTTAAATATTGATTCATATTTTCTTACCAATTATATAAATTCAATATCTTATATTTCATGGATTCAAATGTTGATATACATATACTCGATTTGATCCAAAATATTTTATATATTTTTGTATAATTATTAAAAAATTAAGTGATTATTTGAAAAAAATTATTTAAAATTTAGGTATAACTTGTTAAAATTTAGTTAAATTAAATTATTCAGGTCGAATCGATTTCAGATTGTTAACAAATTTGGATATGGAACTACGAAAATAAAAAAACCATTGGATTATCGAATCGAACTTTCAAAGTCAAAGCCAAATTCAGATTCAAATAAATTAAAATTTGATCCAAAACCGACTCATTGCCAGACCTAATCCTAATTATATTACATAGATAGTTGGTTACTGAATTGTGTGAAATTCACTTCTTGTGATTTTATTGTGTCGTGGCACCACGTAATAGTGAGAATATGGTATTACCATTACATTAAATATTTTCTCATATTTGGTAATGTATCTGGAAAACATTTAATTAATAGAAGGTACATTTAAAAAAAAAATTATATTTCGTTAAGTACTCAAAAGTATATTATGGAAAGTATATGTTGATCATTAATATTATTGAGATATAATTTAAGAATATATTTTGGAGACTTAATATATTGTGACTATTGAATTATCGGTGGATTTCATTTAACACTCAAATTCATTGATAGCCCAATGATTATAATCATGATGTTCTTAAATTATATTTTAATAGTATTACTCTCTATAATCACAGACATAAATTGAATATATATTTGTGATAATGATAGTGATAACAGTAACAGGAGTGGTGGCATGAGTTTTGTGGTGGTGACCGGTGGCAGTAACGATGGAGAATGGTGATGGTGATGAAGGTGGGAGCGCCTGCGGTTTCTTACCATCTAAACCCCATCAATGGACTTCCCTTGTGAGTTCGGGCTGCCATGGTAACTCCCAAAAAAACAACTCCAATTGTCCCTCAAACCCTTCTACAAAATATATATATATATATCTTCATGGGCCATAAGAATCTTTCTGTTGCTAGCCGGTGACTCTTCTATGCTCATGTCAGTTTCTGTTAGAGTTGACATATTATGTTTGTCTGCCTAAGTTAGATTCTTTAGACTACGCCTAAAGCATCAGTCTCATACCACAGAACACACTCTCGTGAATCTTTTTCAGATCACCCATTTTAAAACCATTCAAAATTTTTATTTTTTATTTTTTTTCTCTACTAACAAAAAATCATCTCACCCACGTATTCGGAAATCATGCCTATAATTAAAACTTCAAATACACATAAACACATTCAAACACATGCACATCAATGCATTCCGAATTTTACAAACGAATAAAAAGCTAGACTATGGCTACAAGGGGAATTTAGAATCTTTACACACGGGCAAAAAATTCGAAGATGAACTTGAACCAAAATGAACCATATTGGGGTCGGGATTTAGCCGTACCACTTGCCTTAAAACACATAGTGTTTGATTATGGAGTTCAAATACATGATATGATTGAATCCTAATCATATACATCTACTAAGTAATAGAATATTACACAACCAACAAGTTGTCTATAGTGTAACTTTCAAAATGATGAATAATTGGTGCAAAATAATCATTCACAACCAACTAGCGGCTCTTGCACATGCAAATTAATCAATGAGCGTGATTATAAAACAACGAGATAAATAAATAAAAAAGGGGAGAGAAAAATGCGAGAGTGAGAAGAGACTTAAAGATAGATTATATAAATGGTTGAATGCAATTGACAAAAAATTACAAGTCAGTAGAAAAATTATGAGCGATTACGATGAAAAGAAAATCAGAATATTATAAATATGTAGACACTAAATCGAATAGTAATAGATAATAGAAACTTGAGTTCAATAACTTCTTTTGTCAGGCATGTTGTGATTCGTAGGTCCATGTCTTTGCAGCACAAAATGTGATTCTTAGGTCCACAAATGTAAGCATAAAAGTATGACTAAATGAAAATGAAACACCAAGACATCTAGTTGTTTGAAGGGGTAGGTTGATGTAGGCATGTGGGCTACTGACTCACAAATCCAACATAAAAAGTATAGAGTAATGTTATTTTTATCAAATTTTCTTATAAAATCTTCATCTTAAATGATGTGACACAGTTTTTCACCATCAGATGAGTAGGTCCCATTAATGTTCAATAACGGGAGATTGTGTCACATCGTTTGATATGAAAAATTTGGTAAGCATAGTATTTTTCAAAAGCATGTGCACCACGCTGCTAACTATTTGTTAAATGCAAGTACTAAAAATAACTTTGTATATAAAGACACTCTATAATAATAAAAATCAAGCATTGGTGTATAACATTTCATTTCTTTAATTATATAATTTAAAATTAAACTAAATAGAGATAAAATTATAAAGAGTTGGGGAGGGAGGGGGGGAGAAGAGGTAAATATGTGGATTAGTAAAATTGTCTGGCATTTGAGAGTGTGTTGGTTGAATTAATATTTTTTAGCATGAAAAATAAAAATTGAGAATGAATTATGTATCATTTGATAAAAGTAAATAAAAATTAAATTAATATTGACCATTGTTGTACTTTTATAAATTGACTATTCAACTTTTTAATTGTAATATTAGATAAATTTAAAACAGTTTGTCCCTTGTAAATGTAAAACTTTATTTTATAACTTATTCCTAGAATTACCGTTTTTTCTAAGAGAATATGAATTATACTTTATATTTATGTTTGTCAACACGCTCTTAAAGTTTTATTGATGAAAGTATATCTTACAAATACCCTTTTACATCATGTTTAAGTAATTTGATAAATAAGTCTAAAATCACGATGGACAAGCAATAAAGTTAGGAAATGACGATAACATGGGAAAAAAAAAAACTCCACTTATTGGACACATACTGATAGCAACAGGTCTTTTGAGAGAATAAGATCTGAATGGAACTCAAATAAGAAGGAAATTACAATACAGAAAGAATCATTATAATCATCAAGAAACCCACTTACTCTTTAAAAAACAGTTGAAGATTGAAGACGGAAAAAAAATCAAATTTTGTAATAGATGAGGGAGATGGAGGAGAATGGGGAAAGAATAAAAGTCTCAATAAGTCAATAATAAAAGGATCCACAGGGAATACAAAAACCATAAAGCTAAGAGTCCAAATAAATAATCGAAATGATAAATAAGTCTTAATTCCTACTTCTACGCCAACTATAATGAAGGACAATCCGAGTCCCATTACTTCCTACCTTTCATATTGTTCGACCTTCCTACAAATATTTGGAAGCACAAAGCTCTTACAAAAAAGGCACCATCAGTGAGTAATGGAAAATATGAAACCTCCATGGAATCGAATAGGAATAAACTTCTGGCCAATTCCTGTATCCTGATGAGCATGAACCTAAGCAAATGGGCTGTGGAGGGTGATGCTAAGCATCGTACTCGCAGAGGTTCTCAAAACCCATGTATTCATGCTGTTCAATCTTCCCAATCATGTTTGATATACCAACCCCACCTGTCAAACCAAATAGTTTTATAAAAAAAAAACAATATTCCATGAAAGGCAATATGGCCAACTTTCTTAAAAAGAGAACAATAAACTTAATTAAAATTTTGTTGCAATAGAATTTTAGAGTTGTGAACGTATAGAAAACATTGATTCCAAAAGTCCAAGCAATGGTGAAAACCAATACTCACCTAGTGAGATTGCACTCACAAAGATTGTGAAGGCCAGAATGAAGATGATTAGGGATGCCCTTCCTAATAAATTTATCAGCTTTCTCACGACATGTTGCCCAATAAAAGCAGAAATAGTTGCCACAGCAATAAAGTAAAGAGCTGCTCAATAAGTGCAAGAACTATTAAGTTCAAATCAGGAAAAAAAATTGTAGCAGCAAAGTTCATGGTTTCTCAGATGACTTCCAAGAGAATAAAAATCAGTTGACAAAAAAAAAATGATTTTGGTTGAGATATGCACTTACCATAGGGAACTGGAAAACGTTTTAGAAGGTAGTATTCGATAACGGACATTGAAGAGGAGAACATCATTGCGAAGGTAGCTGTGGCACTTGAAACCTACACAAAAATTATAAAGATCTTTAAAGCCGGACTAATAGCACCTATTTCATGTGTGAGAAGAAAATGCAACAAACCATATGCAGTTACTTCATCTTCCTGTTTTCTTTTTTGCAAATTTTTTTCCTGTCTCAACATCTGTGCGTTGCATCCATGTTCGCAGATTAAAATCTTCAGAGGTTTCACTTTTCTTTCCTTGAGATCTTTGGAAGGTTTTTTTTTTCCTTGGGAAGGTTAAACCTAAGAATGTTCAGAATATGAATTATTTGAGACCTGCGCGTCTATCCAAGTGAAAAAATAGCAGCATTGTCTATTGATACAGGTGATGATTTCGAATCCCCTCCCCAGCTTTGAAATCTTAGTGTTGGAAAGTATACAATTCGTATCTTTCTACATTTCCAGTAATGCACATAATGTTTAACTTAACCCATTTGCTAGATTAGTCATTGATTTGCGGGTTGTTGGCAAAAATCTATAATAAAAAAAAGAGTATATAAAAATTTCTCATTTCTGTATGAGTCCCATAATGGCAATGTGCTTCTTCATCATAAAATGCAATGATCTTCCACCATTTGAATTCTTTGATATGTCCTAGCTCATTCATGTGTTGTTTCTGAATGATGAATGCCTGCCATAGCTCCCCTATAACAAATTGTCCTCAGTAATTGGTCTCAGCATTCTTCGACACATGTTCCAGATGTATTTTGATGGTAAACATAGTAAAGAGTCAAAAGCTCCATGAGTCCATGACATGGTTTTGAGGAACACAAGTGTCACTATCCTCAACATGAACAGATTGGCTGTATTCCATGCTTTTTGTTTTTGATACTTTTATTTGTGGTTGTTTGGGTTTATTTCCTCTTTTCTTTTTCTCTTTTTTTTTTTTTTTTTGTGGGGGGGGGGGGGGGGGGGGGGGGAGAGAGGAGGATTCCATGGTAGGCACAATCAAGAAGATAATGTTAATAGAGTCAAGTGATAAATGGCATATGGAAAGGAATTTCTCCCTATTTCTCTAACTTAATTTCTTAAATTTAACTGATTAAGCACATGAATAATGACACAAAGCTTATCACCTATTGTGTTTTTGTTCCACTTTTACTGTATCTTAGGAGAAGCACAAACTCACCTGAGGAGGGACTCCCAGCTCTAAAAACAGTGGACCCATGATGAATCCTCCTCCTAGACCAAGCAGCCCCCCAACCACACCAGCCAGTAAGCCAAAGGAGCAATAGACGATCAATTGGTGCACTTGCAAGTTGGTGCCTGCATCTCCCCGGGATTCAATTTTTCTCCATCCCTTGTACAGGCTCATTGCCTCGTACGAGGATACCCCAACGGAAACTGGGATCTGAGGAAATTGAAAGGATAAATTCACATGGATGAGCGAAATCCAATTTCAAGCCTAGCAAGCTTGAAGTCATTTCGACAGTGATAATATCAACGCTGCACTAAGAGAGTTTGTCCTAATATTTATAAGGCACACTCGCTTTACGCATCCACATAGCGAGAAAAATGTTACAAGTACACTTGAACAGAAGAGTAAAAATACCTGCAACAAGTTCACTACCCAATATGCAACAGAACATGTAGCAGTATAGTTCTGTTCCAACACATGAATGCAGTGAGTTCACCAATTCAATCGAGCTCATAATATTACAACATAAGCTCACTAAAAAAATCAGGAAGAAAAGACAAAGGGAAAAATGACAACCTTAGTTATTTGCAGTGCCAGAAATGCAACCCAAACAAAAACTAGAAGCCCAAATTCTGTCCAGCAAACATTCTCAAGAATAGTGACCTGAGATTATTACATCAATTAGATTTGATGACTTGGATGAATTAAAAAAGTCCAATTCTCACAGCACACTTACCTTTGGTTCTGCAGAGACATTGGCCTCCGTTTCGGAACTGTTGCTTGGGCCACCGGGAAGAAGCTTGTATTCTTCTTCTTCTGTGCCACTAACTGACAGAAAACAGCACGCATATTGGTTTTATTTCAAACAAAAAAAAAAACAATTATTAATAAGTTCTTTATTGCATTGTCAATGTAGAAGGAGTAGTGCATCAATCCACCATTTCCATCCAAGATCTTAGTTGCCTCCTGAAATTAGAAAAAGCAATAGATAATCACAATGGAAGATATAAGACTGTTTCTGTAAACATACACACTCTGGTGGCAGTGCATGCCACATGGATAAAAGCATTCCATTTGTCGTCAAATAATTTGACGGAACCAAAATCCATCTTGTGACAGTTTGATTTAGTATAACCGAAGTTGACACAGATTGAAAAGTAGAAAATGAACTCAACATGAAAAAACTGGTAGTAAAAACCAAAATCCTTGGATGCAAAATATGTCAATCCATGATAACCTTTTTCATAATGGTTTCTTTCTTCCATGTTTCAACACCTTTGAAAAAGGTCTTGGTCGATGTGCCTGCAGACCAGCACATAAAATCAGCACTCTTCCTGGAGCAGAATGCATTTTTTGGCGAGGAAAATTGCAACAAAACAAAGCATGACCTATGAAGAGAATGATCAACAGAACTGTAACCATCCAGTCAGCAAAAACCACATTGAAAGCAACTCCAATGCTAATCCCCAGCATAAGCATTGGTTGGATAAGCACAGCCAAGTCATAGTCAATGATGGGCATATCAACTGTGGGATGCCGTAGCTTAAGATTATAATAGACGGTTGAGACTGCTGCACCCATGATCATACCTGACAAATGAACAAGATCTATCACTTCCTAACCATGCTAGAGAGGTTTATATAGCCAAAAAAATGTTCTAAAAAAATACAGTTTTTTCCCCTTCGGTGGCTATAATTTAAAGTAGAGAAAAGATGATCCATGCAAACTTCTAAATTTATAAAACTAGGCCAGGGTTCAAACTTAAATTCCTCAATTCCTCAATAATGCTGTGACAAAATTTAGCTCAACAAGGGTCAGGGAAGATCATGTTGAAGAGGGAAATAACTCAAAAACTTCAGGGTAAGAAATAATAATTAAACCTGGTTATGTTGCTCAAGTTTGTTAGGATCTACAGTTTTAGAAATTCACTCGTCTCTTACATTTTGAAATAGCAGTTGCTGATTTGGCATCGAACCCTATAATTAAGGCAAGCATGGGAACAAATATGCCACCACCGCCAACACCACCAACACTCCCCAAAGCTGCTCCCAAGAATCCAATTATGGTACCCAAAACAACTTTCCACCCAAATTTCAATTCCTGCATTCCACATTCCAAATTTGTATACATTAAATGTTCCCAAACCAACACCCACAGTTATGAACATAATTTTAGAATCACACAAACTAGGTACACATGGATGTAAGTAGGTATTTTATGTTTATAATCTTCACTCAACAAATCCTTAACAACATGGAAAATTGGGTTAATCATTGAAGATATCTGGGCATGTGTTGGAGAATTGGCCGTACAGTTTAACCACACTACAAGAGTTTTAAACATGGCACCACATTGGATGGCAAAGGTTGCAATTTCTGGCCTGTTTTTGAGTGGCTAATTTCCTGGAAGAACTATTAAATATTTTGAAGGAAGATTGTAACCATGCTTTTTGTTAGCTCAGCAACCAAATGTCGCCAATAAAAAAATAATAAAAAATCCCTAACAAAGTTCTTTGTGTTAGTTCAAATGCATCCTTTCTTTTATATATTGTATGATGTATGATCTGAATACCTAGGAAGTGCGAATACTTCCCGGAGGGTGCCGTGGCAGTGTCAGAGTCTGACACGGACACGGCCGGACACAGCTAAAAGTATAGTGAATAGTGAACTCAGTCAAACACGACCAGAATACAATTAGGACATGACCAGTAATTTTTTTATAAAAAAAACCTACTTTATAAATATTAAAAGGGTTGTGATTTCTATTTTTTTAATATATTTTTTTTATGTAACTTATATATTACGAATGTTAATCAATATAATAATGTTTGATGAAAATGGTGGATATTTATTTTAATCTATTTCAATTTTAGTCAAAAAAATCAATATTTACTAGGTCTTATTATTGATATTGTTATAATATATGTTTTATTTTTAATATATTATTATCCAAAAAATATATTATATTATTTTAATAGATATCTTATATTTTCAAACTTTGCCTTATCCCCGTATTGTATTATATACATCACCCATGTTCGTATCCGTGTTCCTTAGCTTAATACACATAAAGACATTCATCCTTTCAACTTTTTCTACAACTCTTTTTTTGGGTATGTATTAAGTAACTTTTTCTACAACTTGCCAGCACAAAAAAGTACATAAATCCGTGCTTATAGTTATAAACTTGTAAGAAAGTTGATAAAATATAAAGAGCACCAAATCAAAGATACCACTAGAGCAATCAATGAGATACAGCTGGAGATAACCATCTAAGACAAGCTGTATGGCTGAGTAATTAACAAGAAGTACCAAGAAATGGCAGACGAAGAATTCAAAAAACAAAACACCAACCAATTCAAAAGGAATCAAAATGCAAATGTTAAGCTATAATTTGAGTATTTTAACTTACTGGCCAAACGTGTTGGTAACCCGATTGATTGGATTGCCATAAGAATTTCGTGAACTGCATAAAGTAGTTTGATTCAGATTCATCGGGAATAGTTGAAGTTTCATGTTTGAAGCTTCTTTCTGCTGAAACAAAGATTGAAGCTAACAGAAAGCTCCATGCTATCCTCGATATCGATACCATAATCCTCCTTTTCCCTCCTCCAATTCCCGCCATTCAAATTCAATTCCAAATATTAATCCCACAAAGAATTCCCCCTTTTTTCCTTTCACAATTCTTTCCTTCCCTCTCTACTCCAAAAGAGAGACAGAGAGAGAGAATTACACAGTGATCTCACCAGCAATCAATTAGAATCAGCAAGAAAATTCAGGGGAGAAAATTTACTAATGAAATCACACGAGAAAGAACAAAATTTCGAAATCAACACCAGGACTATGTTATTCCTGGGAATTGACGGAAGAAATGAATTGTTGGATGCTTTGATTTCTGGGATATATAGAAACCCGAGAAAAGAGTAAGATAAAGCGACGAAGAAGGTAAGCAATAGAGAAGAAATGAAGGCATTCGAAACGAAGGCACCTATATGTATATAAGGAAGAAGGGACAAGCAATGAGGCAGGTAACTTTGCTTAGATCCCATGTCAGCCCTACTCCCTTTCTCTCTCTCTTAAATTAATGTCTGCTTGGAGGCATTCTCTCTGTTCCAGGAGTCCAGCCATAAGAATCCCATTCGTAATCACCGAGACAGCAACAGCGAAGAAAACAGAGAAGGACCACCGTCCTGGTAAGATAATGATCTGTAACTTAATGTTATCCTAGTAATAATTTTTTAGGAGTTTTATTTCCTCACCAAAAAAAAATATATATATATAGGGAAAATTACACACAAACCCTCTGACGTTTGTCACAATCACTTAGACCCCTTAATATTTAAAATATTACATACAGACCTCTTAAAGTTTGTATCCTCATAACATTTGACATTTGCCATCAATGTCGGTTAGAATATCCGTTAATAAATTACATTCAGACTCCTAAAGTTTATAAATGTTTAATATTTCCCCTCAAATTTAAAACGTTATATTTAGACAAAAAATAATCTAATTAAAGATAGAACATCAAATATTTTAAATTTTATACCAAAATTCATATTCTATTATATCATTTATTGATATAAAATTAAAATTAAAAATTAATTTTTTTCTTTAACAAATCATAATTAGTATACAATTATACTATCTATTAAAATAAAACTAAAAAAACAAATAAGAGGTTAAACTGTAATTGATACAATATATTCTATTTTTGATTGGAGAATTAATTCGTTTAATAGATAGTATAATTGTATATTAATTATGAATTTTTTTAATAAAAAATTAACCATTCCTTTAGAGATTTTGGTGTATAAAAGTTTGGCCCCACAATTAAACTCAGGAATATTGATAAGGATATGTATGCAAGCACACGTGACAATAACTGAAGACAGAAACTTTAGAGCGTGTTCAACTTAGGACCATCCGGTCTGTGAGATTATGAACTTTAGAGCCTGGAGGATTATTTCAATATTTGATAAAAAAAAAATAAAAAAATTGACATTTTATTCCTATAATATTAATTAAACATATTAGTCATGTTAATTTTATATTATTCTTATTTGATAATAATTCGATCCATTTATTATTCATGTTTATAAATTTTATTATTTATGAGTTTATATTAAAAAATAATTAATTTTAATCCATCAATTTCGTATTCTATCAAAAATTTATACTTAGAAAAGTGTGTCTTTTTTAAACTACCACCAGTTTGACATTTGACGAAAAGCTCTCAAGGGTTGGCACGAAACCTACAACATTGACGCTATGCTTGTCGTCGATAAAAGGATAATATTTTTTAAACTTATGAGTAACCTCTTTAAAGAGTAGATAACCAAAAATATCATTAATAAAAAAAATATAAAATATTCATTAATGCAAGAAACGGTCTTCTCCTACATCTGACCTACTTGGTCTCATAAAATCATAGAATTCAGACATGCCATAACTCTTACGGAATTGTCTACTGTATGTATCAATTACTATCATATTTATAAGTATTTTTATTATTATTATGATATTTAAAAAATAAAAAAATAATTATTAAAACAGTAATTAAAATATTTATAATTTTTTTATACCGAATAAAATTGATAAAAATAATTATTAGAATAATAATAAAAATCACTTATAAATGTGATAAATCACTTATAAAAGTGATAAATATTTTTTATAAAATAATCCATAAAAATTATAAAAATACTTATTAAAATAATAAAATTTAGAGGTACAATACCCGTTTTTTTTTTTTTGGATACCACAATCAAGTCCAACTGTTATGAGCTTAAAATTTTCTAACACAATTATATAAGTGACTCGGATTGATTTATCAATAAAAATGGTAATCAATAAATATATTTGTATTTATATATAAAATTAAATCACAAACATAGAGAAGAAATAAAAGAATTTAAGCATCGATTTGTAATGGTGGCGACGACGGCTATGGTGGGGGTGGCGGCGACAGCATTGGTGGTGGCGGCAGCAACAACGACGGTGATGGTGACGATAGTGAGAGTGATGTTGGTGGCAGTGGTGCTGGTGAGGCGGTGGTGGGGGTGGTGGTGACGAAGGCAGCGGTGGCGATAGTGGTGGCGGCCGCGACGAAAGTGGTAGTGGTAGAGATAGTGGTAGAGCGGTTTCAAACACTATTTTTTTAAAGTATTTAAGAAAAATAATTTTTAGAACTATTTTTAAAAAATTACTCAAAATACACTTTTAAGGACCTATTTTTCCTATTAAATTTAAGATGTTAATACTAATATTTAGATTAACTTTAAAATAATTTTAAAGCGATATCACTCGCGAATAATGAAAGTCATTTTTTTTATTTTTAAAATTTAAATTATAAGATATTTTATTATATAAATTGTTCAAATGATTGAATTTAAAGAATAAGTCGTCATAAAAAATTTAAAATTACTACTTATCAACACAACAGAGTACTTCTCGTGGTCTGACCAAAATGAAGGCAAGAACACAAAAAGGGAAACGTGTCCCTTTATTAAAGCAATAGGTAAACCAGTACAACCATTTGGAAATAGACGAAAGTGAACAAGATCCTATGAATACTTTTCAAATAACTTACAAGAAGTCTAAACTACGATGCGACTTTGGAGGCAAAAATTCTAATATGATGTCATTGTTATTTTCGGTATTTTTTTATTAAATATTATATTTTTTATTCTTGTGGATTATATTTGTACTGGAGTAACTTATATACTTTGAATATATGGTGTAATGTAAATTAACCGATTAATTTAAAAAAATAAGGAATGAAGATCCCAGAGAGAGGAAGGTAAATTTTAATGGGAGAAGATAAAGGTAAAAATTAATGTGAAAAATTTTAAGAGAGATGTTGATGATTGTTGAATGATCTATTTAAAACCGTTGAATAGACTTATTGAGATTTGTTATATTTTATATTAAATATTAATGTTCTACTCAAGTAATCTTATGGCCCTAGTGTTTTTTTTTTTTTTTTTTTGAGAAATAAAAAAGGTGGGAGTAAGGAAGAGTGTCCAGCGACCACCCCGTTAGGCTCTCACCAGTAAAATCTTAAAACTTCTGACCGCGCCTGAAACGCCTTTTGGGACCTTAGCTAGTATAATAGCTAACCACAAAACCCTAATGAGAATTTCAGGACTCGAACTCCTAACCTCTATGTGAGGAGTAAGTCTGGTACCACTAGGCCACCAAACCCTAATGGACCTAGTGTTTTTGACTTACATTGTTGATCAACATGTCACCATCTCCTATCTCTTGCTCATAATATTTAGTAAAAATTAGAAGTTAGTTTAATATGATAATTTGTTTTGTCAATAAGTACAGAGTTGAACTTATTAGTTATTAAGAACATTATATGTAATATTTGGTAACCATTTGGAAAATAGTTATTCTCTATTTCCTTACTTTTCTATACCTTTTTTCTCTCTCCCATCCCTTCTCGTCTATATTTTCTATATCTTATTTAAATTTTTGTCTCTATTACATATACACGATAAATCACGTATAAAGATAGAGATAATAACACAATGACAGTGACAGTAATTATTATTGTCACACCGATATTCATTTTCACAATTATTGTCACAATAATATAGTGTTGTCACAGTGACAATGGTAGTTACTTTTATAGTAAACACCAAAACTAACTCAGATATTATTATTATAAGGGTTGGTATAGTGAAACATTCAGAGTGACAACTACAGTGACAATGATGCACAGTGACACAATCATTGCATGCAACAATATTTTATTGCGATATAACCACCAATGTCTGTACATATATAAAAATAAACGTGTATATACATATATATATATATATGCATTTATTGCCAAAAACTGAAGACATGAGTCAATTGCAAAAGTTTTAGAAGCGTGTGGAACAAATTATTGAAGTTTTGAAACTAGAGGGAGTCGATTATAACAAGACCCAAATTTGATGGGGACAAATTGTAATTAACCCTTTAATAGGTTTAATATCTAACGAAACCTAAAAATCTGATCAAATTTGATATGATTTCATTGTAACCATTAGATTAACACGATGTTCTAATATTTGATGAGATCCATGATCACTCTAATGATTATAATAAATTAGATTAGCAAATTAGTTTCTAATAATATTGCTTATAAATTATAAAATGCATGTTAAGTGCTAACCTATTAAGCACGGATATTTTGTTAAGATTGAAATATCCATATCAGATATGACACTTTCGAATACTTCAAAATATGTTTCGGATATGCATCATACATATCCAATTATTAATAAAATATATGTATTCACATATACTTTTACACATGAAGCAAGATGTACAATTTTTAATTTTAATTTTTCAAGTTTATATACAATACAAAATATTAGTAAAATTCAATTCAACTTTGAAAACACGAGTATTTTAAAAATATTATATACTATAACATGTCAAAAAAAATATAAAAAAAAATGAATTAATTATACTATAATCTTTGAAATAAATACTTGTAAGCAAAATCAACTAATTAAATATTGATTGTAATTCTTTTAATTAATCACATTCGCTTATAAATATATCATAATAAGACGATATTACACGTTTTTCAAAGTAAAAATTATTATTTTTTGTTTATTATTGTTAAAGAATCACTAAATATTATAATTTTTAAATTATTCAATAATGATAACATATAAAATATATTTTATTATAAATGTATTCTAACCATATTTTTTATTTTTTTTAAAGTTTTGTTGTATTATTATATTCATATCATATTATACCTATATTTTATAATCCTATTCGTACTTTCTTGATTGTACTACAAATATGTAAGTGAATCGGATTGATGTGAAGCCTTGAATTATAAAATTGTACAAATGATTGAATTAATAAAAAACTCGTAATAAAAAATTGATATTAACTACTTATCAACACAATAGATTACTTGTCGTCGTCTGAGCAAAATGAAGGCAAGAACATAAAATTTAAATAA